TTCCTCAGTGGGTACTAATTGAGCCTTGAGAAGTTGAACTTCGCCCTGGCCTTTCATCAACTTCGCTTCACTTGATGACACAGGCATCAGGGCATTTCTTTACCCTTTGGACACTACTAAAGGCATGCCTATTACTGTAGATCTGTCCCTTCAGCACACCCGCATGTGGAACTGCTCTGTCATCTGTTGCATATTCTTGGTACATTTGATGATCAAGGGGTATTGATGAGTATCAACTGAAGGCCATGAGAGCAATAAATGAAGTTACTCGTGTGACGGGGGGGGGGGGAGGGAGTTGCAGCACCACACTTCCTAATATGCTTAGTAAGGTTCTTCCATTCAAGAAAAAAAAAAAAAAGTCAGAGGTAAAATTCCATCTAAAGAAATAAGGAGAAGGCTCCTTTTGAGATCTGGCCTAAGGGTGTTTGCTTTCTCATTCTGCTTTTGTGAATATCTGTTATACAGTGGACATCTCTGTGCCAGAAGGAGTGCAGCATCACTGGAACTGTACTGATGTAAGTGGAATAGAGTTAAGAAAAATACCAGCTTCAGTAGTAAAAACAACATAGCATAAGGCTTAAACTTTATATGATGTATCTTGCACGGATTTATATTTATGCATGATACTCACACCCTAGGTAGTTCATAGAATCTTAGAATCATAAAATGGTTTGGGTTGGAAGGGACCTTAAAGATCATCGAGTTCCAACCCCCCTGCCATGGGCAGGGACACCCTCCGCTAGCCCAGGTTCCTCAAAGCGTCATCCAGCCTGGCCTTGAACACCTCCAGGGATCCACAGCTTCCCTCGGCAACCCGGTCCAGTGCCTCACCACCCTCACAGGAAAGAACTTACTCCTAACATCCAATCTAACTGTTCACTCAGTTTCAGACATAGAATCTCTAAATACACAGCAAATTAAGTATATTGCTGATAAAAATTATAATAAAAATAATAGTTATATTGATAATTAAACCTTCAGTCTTACACGCCACTCTAGGGAAGTGGGCGTGGGGAGGTGCTTTACCACCGT